GATCGCTGTGATTGGCTGAAACCTGAAAGAGAGAGAGAGAGCGAGCGAGCGAGCGAGCGAGCTTGCAGCCTCCTCCGAGTCTCTCTGAGATTTAGAGACTTTCCATCTGCAGAGCCTGAAAGACGACGAGAGGAAGTGGACATTTTCTGATCGTCCACGGACACGTATCTGTGACTCAGTTTGCATCCACCGCATCCACACGCACTTCCCAAAAAATCCGTCAGACCTATCATGGATCCCAGATGGATTGATGGATAAACGGATGCAAAGGGAGTGATGCACATCTTCTGAAAGCGCTTGGTCCTTCCAAGAAAGAAGAAAGAAAACCAGCTGAAGCTCAGAAGCAACAGGCTCCCATCCGTCTTCATCTCTGATTGTTTTGCATTGCGTGCTGAGTTTGAATCGTCGTTTGGGCCGGTGCAGGTGTGGGAATTCCTGTGTGCCACACTGTTTGTGTCTTTTGTGAGGGCGTTGTGTGTGTTTCATGTTTTCTCCCGGTTTCCGTTCGCTTCATTCCATCTGTCGGATCCCGGCTGTTCTTTCACACTTCTGAAAGCTTTACTTGCCATCTGTGGCATCACTGTGTGTGTGTGTGTGTGTGTGTGTGTGTGTGTGTGTGTGTGTGTGTGTTTGGCCACTCGCTGGTTGCAATGTTTAGCTTGTAGAAGTTGGTGTTTGTTATCGACTGTTACATGTGTTCAGAGTACGCAAGGGAAATATCATACATTTCAGGATCACTGTCCTTTTTATTTTGCTCTGAGATACTTGATTCTCCAGTTTGAGCGTCTCACAAACGTAATGTGTAATGTATTGTGATATTGTCAAACAGATGGTTACAGACACCCTGTTGCGTTGCTGAACATTTTTCATATTGCTTTCATGTTTAAGATTAGAAATTAAGATGACGGTCTCAAGCCAAATATAGTGATCGCAAAGAGACCGCAAATCTGTGCTGGACTTACAAACCTGATTCAAAAAATGACCTGTAACACTTATTTTTCTCATCAGTCTATCTAAACACTTGGATTTTCCTTCATTTTTAAGCTGGATTTTCTTGCTTTTTTGTCTTTGGAGTTACCTCATCTGTTAACAGAGGAAGCCATATTGGGTTTTTTCATGTGTTTCTTGAATTGAAGATTCACATTTATGCATTTGGCAGATTCTTAACCCAAAGTGATTCACTAAAATCAGTTCTTGCTTTATCTGGGAATCGAACCCGTGACCTACAGGAAGGCTCTTAAGCTTTTTTAATTGAACATTTGCTGCTAAACATTGGAGTGAACTCATTTGAAGATCCAAAGCCCAACTGGAGTTGATTATTTCCCATAGTGCACCACAGCCTCGAACATGATTGGAGTGAACAGTCTGCACTCTGCCGGGCGCTTTCGCTCCCGCTCGCTCTGCTCGGTTCGATACGGGCGAGATTTCCGTATGATGGACCCGTTCCGTTACCCGCGAACGCCCAGATCCCGATCGCTCAAACCTCTGGTGTTTCCGGACCTCCTGGGAAAAGCTCAAGATGCACAGAACCACCCGCAGGCCCGCAAGAGGAAGAGGGTAACCTTGTCTCGTGTCACTTACCTGTTCATCACTCACCCGGTCATCTGTACTTGTCTGCTGCCCAAAAAGGCCAAAAAATTACATAGATGCACCGGGCAGCCACTTTTGATCAGATACAGTTCTGATTTTGTCTATTTAAACACCACGCACTCTTAAAAATAAATGCGTTTTATTGATATTAATGGTTCAATAGAACCTTTCCATTGTTCAAAAGGTTTTTTATAGTGGAAAAAGATTTTCATTTTATTAAATCTTTTTATCTTTAAGATTTAAAGATTTTATTTCCAGAAATAAGAGTTTTTAAATGTAAGAAAAAAATGGTTCTTTTAGGAACTGGTCATTGAAAGTTCTTTTTGGAACCCAAAAAATGGTTCTTCTATGACACTGCTGCAGAATCCCCCTGTTGCAATGCTTATTTTTAAGAGTGAATCAAACTGTAGTGTACTTTTAGGAGTGCAGTAGCTTATAGATTGCCTCAAAGCTAATAGAGATGAACTAAAAGAAATCTCTAGCTGAATTGGTTTTGTTTTGAAATGAGCATTGGTGGGGGACTGGGGAGATGCTGTTTGTTTTGCCCTGAGGGACCGAGAGGGTAAATTTGCTCTCTGTTGCTGCTGAATTTCTAGTACACACTGAGATTATTAGCTGTTCATGCTGAGGTTTCTTTTTTTCTAGACGTGTGGAGGGAATAATATGCTTATTAAAGTCCTTCTCTCATGCATATTTAGCTTGGCATCTGAATTAGGACTTCTATTGCTTTTATATACTGTACATCTTATGATGACCTCTAAGCCAAATCATACAGCTATGCTTTATAGAATTAAAAAAAAAAAACATTTATTTAATTTATGAATAATGTTTATCTTTGAGGTTTTGTCCAATATAGGCACAGTCTTTGACTCTGTCGGGGAATCTGTGTAGATAATGAAATTGCAAACACAGGATTCCACTGTGACACAGGTGTTTGATGACTGACGTCCGCACAGACTCGTCATTTACACCGATAATGTGTCAATTAAGTGCTAATGATCTGAGGAGACTAACAGCCATCTGTGATTTTGTCTTTTATTTAGCTCTTTTATTAAAAGATAATTCAATTTTTTTTTTATTTGAATTAATGTTTTTATTTTTAATTTATGTTTTGTTTTTATGTTTATTTAACATTTTCTTATATTTATTTTTAAAAAATTCATTCTTTTTTTTTTTATATTTCTATATTATGATTATATATATTTTTTTAATGATTCAGCTTTTCTTCATTATGTACTGCCATTTAGAAACAAGTACAAAAACCGAACAAGCTTAAACACTTATCTCTTATGTAAATGTATGGTTGGAAAAGGTTTGGATTATTGGTTGTGGAGTTAAATTGATGCTTCACTGATTGTTAGGTGTTGATGTCCAGAATGGCATTTATTTGTGTAGACAGTGTGGCAATAACTGAATCAGATGTTTATTTTGAGGTGTGTCATCTGTCACAGTCTGATTATGATGCTACTTACAGCAGAATATATATATGATGCAACTCATACGCCAGTCTGTGAAACCAAACAGTCATTTACAGCTCAGGTGTGACTTACTCACTCTCTCTCTCTCTCTCTCTCTCAGGCCCTGTACAACTCTATTAAAAATGAAAAGCTGCAGTGGACAATGTAAGTGTGTTTTCTTCCTGTTTTCACGTTTAATGATTGTAAGGTTTTACAGTAGATGAAATGTGCTACTACCAAACTACCCACATAGAAACACGAGTCAACTCATTTTATCATTCTGATCGTCCTTAAAGAACACTTTACTATGGTAACCATAGTTTCCTCCAGGATAGCTACTACAGTTACTGTCACTATTGGAAAATCTCCAACTATATATTTCTGATAGTTTGAGTGAGTATTTGCTCATGCAAAAGTTGCTAAGACTTTTTAGCGTATTGCATTTCAGTTGCAGTCAACAAAATATTAAATTTAAGGTTTATGTATTTGAATTACATAAAACATTTCCACACAGTATTACCTTGAACAGACTAATACATTTAATGGGATGCATATTTGTCAACATAAATCTGTTAATGTGAAAAGAATTAAGCAATGTTAATTAAATATTAATATTAATCAATATTACTTAAATTCAAATTTATGAGGTGAGAAACAAATTGAATATATCAATGATAGATATATGAACCTGGTTATTATGCATTAAAACACATTTGGTTTATTTGTACTGTTACAGAATTCTGAACTGTTTTGTTATTATATGACTGACAAATATGCTTCACATTGAGTTTAATTATTTGTTTGTTAAAATTGTGTAATCCAAAATGTTGGAAATGTTACTGTATATGCATATCAAATATAAAAATATTTGTGATACTGTTATAATTCAAATTTTTATTATTATTTTTAATTTGTTTTCATTTTAATTTTAGTTAACGTTTTAGTAATTGTGCTGTGTTTTTTTTCTCTAATGTATTTAAAAATATATATATATATATATATATATATATATTTTTTTTAT